ACAATGCATATATTGGCAAAAGACCTCATTTCACAATCAATTACAAAATCTAGGATTCACGCCTCACAGCTACCCACAGCATATCCTATCACAATAGTACAGAAACCATTCATTTCAGATAAGAATTAAACATAATAGAACCAAACAATCAACATTAAAAAGGAAAACACAGGAACTGGAAGATGCAGAAGCATTCGCCAACCTTCGCCTGGAGAAGTCCCTGGCGAACCTTCGCTGCAACGTTCGCCTGGCGAACTTGCCAGCAAAGACCACTGGGAGTTATTCTACAATTAATCGCCAACACTCGCCAGAACACTCGCTTGGCGAACCTTCGCCACGTCCATTCGCCTGGCGAACTCGCCAGCGAAGACAGGGTAATTGGTTCTGTTTTGGTTCGCTACCGTTCGTTGGGCTTCGCCTGGCGAAGCTTCGCTGCAGCTCGCCTGGCGAACAATGGCGAAGCTGCGAAACCAGAAACCCTAACCGTCCCAAAATCACCAAATTCTCACAAACCGACCGATTCATTTTCAATCAATCCTAGTAGTCTTATCCCAACATTACTCGACTAAACTAATCTGTTTATTCCCGATTCTAACCGTTAAAACGTTATTTCTACCGATTAAACTCATTCTGCCCTAAGATGGAAAATGAGTGAAACTACAACAACTCCACACACATACACATACATGATCATAAACATTGGTAGAATAACAACATTTCACACCCTTACCTTGGTTAATCGAAGTTATAAGCGGATCTTGAAGATTTTCCAAGTTTTCCTCTTTTCTTTCCTTTTTCTCTTCTCCTTTTTTCTTTCTCCTCTTTTTCCTTTCTTTCTCTTCTCTTTCTTTCTATCCCTTTTCCTTTTCTCTCTATTTCCTTTTATATGTCTTTTTATTTCTTTCCATCATGATTCTTTCCTCAAAATACCTACCAATTCATTTTCTCATAAATTATCTCATTCTTATCATTAATAAGGAATACCTCAAATATCCTTTAACTTAATTTCTCATAACTCTCCAAATGATAAAATAGAATAATATGCAAACTTAACATATTATCACACTATCCCATAATTAAAATAATTCCAATGAATAAATTAATTAGTTAATCAAAATTGGGTTGTTACACCTTCTCGATTGATGATGATGCCAAACTAGAAATGGTGAATGTATCATCATTTCTCGACCTAAGAGCCCGTGGTACTGAGGACCTCCTAGGTTACTTTTTTCAAGGCTAGAACCCGCATGTGAGAGGGGATGGTTTTTTGAAGGAAACCTTGACCTTCAACCTACTTGGTCTTCTGATTTTCTTATGGACTTCTGAACCTGGTATTATGGACTTCTGGTATTATGGCATTCTGGTATTCTTGTCAAACCAAAGTGTTGAACCTATTCCATCAGCATCATGAAAGTTATTCAGAATATGTGGCAACCTTGATCTCGTGTCTTTGCATTTGCATCACATCATAGCTGCATCATAACATTCATGTCTATTTATTTATGGGGTTTGTATCTTATCCTTGATTCTAGTTGTTGACGATCTGCAGAGATGGCCACTGGTAGGAATGATACTGTTCTCTATAAAAAAAAAGTAATTTGGAGTCATTCGAGGAAACTATGATAAGATCTTGGGTATGCTTCATACCATCGTATAATATGAAAGGATAGCTACTCATACATTACTACAATTCTATGATCTTTCTCTGGGGTACTTCGTGTCTAGAGATTATCAGTTCTCCTTTACTTTGGAAGAATTCCCGTTTATATTGGATATCCCAATCAAGAATCAGGTACCCTTCCATGAATCTATGGAAGTTCCCGCTCCTGAAGCTATTGTTGATGCTCTTTGTTTGAGCACATTTATTGTAAGAGTCAATCTTCGAGACAATGGAGGTTTATCTGGTTTTCTTCTGAGTTCTCTGCTATAATATAATTATGTTTTCTATCCATCTCTTGTGTTTTATTGATGTTAAAACTTGAATCAAGGTGTAGATTACCCCTGGAAATGATCAAACAAATAAACAAATAAGCTTCCCTAAAATGGTTAAAATTACATCCTTTTTGTTCACTTGGATGAATGATGTCATTAAAGTCTCCAATAAACATCCAAGGACCATCAACAATGTTTCTCCAATCAATAAAGTGGAGTCATAGGTCAAGACGAGAAGTGTACACATGACTAACATAATTTTTAGTTACATATCAAGAGGAAGTTCCCAATCATAGCTTGATAGTAATTATATCCATAAAGACATCATGCACAACAATTACAATGCTACAACCATTCTGTTTTAACACCTAAATTCCTTCGAATTGACCATATGCATCCATATAGGGAATACTCACATATCCAACTTTGTCCCATAAGGACTTGGTCTTATGAAAACCAATGTGTGTTTCCATAATGATTAAAAATGTCAGGGAGTTTTTTCTAATCAAATCCATCATATGTCTTTTAGCACGACGACTTCTTTGAAACCTAACATAACTAGTCAAGTTGATGGCGGTGACAAAGCAAGTCCCGAACACGAGACAATTTACGTAGCAATCCCTCATTTAATGGAAGTTTCACGAATAACTTCCTTTTCTTAAGGAACACTCTTATATATAGTGCATTGGTTATTTCCATTTGCTTGAATTTTTCTCATTCAAAATGTGGAATGTTGTATCGTGTGATGGTCTCCAAATCCAATTTTACTATGAGATTGACGGGGGTGAACTTAGTAGTGCTAGGCACACCCTTTTGCATGGAAAGGAATTTAAATTTGCACAATTTTATGCGAAGACCCACTAATAGCATGATGTGGTTCCGAAATGGAAAACTTGGCCTTGGCGCATGGGTCCCCTTTGCATGTTGGTCGGCGTGCGTCTAGGTGGAAACACTCTTATCAAATTTCCATTTCTTGGAAACCGCATCAAGTTGATTGGGTACAGCAGTTTTATTGTCATCACTTATTCCTTTTAAGGAAATATCAATCCCCTTGATTTTAGAACTCTCCGGATCTCTAGACGCATTATTGGATAAAGATTTTCCTGGACCATAACTGAATATTTTGTTACATTGTTTCCTCTGCACCACCAGCCAATTACCATGAACTGCATTTATTTCTTATTTTTATTTTGCTGTAATTTCGGCATTATCATCGCCCATTTCCTGATATAGTACTGTTAGTATTTTATCATGGACATCATGGTTTTTTCGGAAGACGTCATGGTTATGCCACTGTAGGAAAGACTGGTTGTGTTAGACTATGTTGTGTTTTAGGACAATCCCGAGTGTGGTGTGCATAACAACCACGATTGGAACAACTAATGCGGAGATCTTCGTATTGCACGTTATACAAGTGGCCATTAACATTGACCGTTTCGACAACCGACAAGGTCAGATTAATGTCCATGCAAATTCTTACAAACCTTTCCCTCTATAGATATATGGCATTAGTGTCTACCTTAACGGGAGTACCCACGACAGATGCCAAACTAAAGTCTTTTCTACAAAGTCTAGAGTCCATCGAGCCACAACCAAATAATGGTAAAAAAATCATCCACGGGCCTTCTGACGCAATTTTCTCCGTATCTGCGAGCACTTCACATAAGTAATCTGACTATTCATCTCGATGCCACTAAGATGTATTAATATTTGAAAAAGATGTTTTGGTTGCCATAAACGAAGAGGTAAGTAGCTAAGTTTGTTTACGCTTGCTTGACTTTTCAGAAGTCGAAGATTAAACATCAAAAGTCGTTTGGTCTGATGCAACCGTTGAGCATTCCTGAGTGGAAATAGGACAACGTTTCCATGGATTTTGTGACGAGTTTGCCGAGGATGGCGAAAAGATGTGATTACATACGGGTTATTGTTTATAGCACTACTATAAATAATGTTTTTAATGTTGCACACGAAAGAGATGTAACCTCAACTACTGAGGCGACGTAACAAAGGGTGACATAAAAAGATGCCACATAATACCTCGGGTTAAGAAAAATCGAGGGGTAAAGTTATCTGATCATGAGTTCGAACCGCAACATATTCATTTTTAATATTTACAAAAACAAACGCCCCATACCTCTCGGTTAATCCACAAAACCGAGGGGTAAGATAGATTGTTGTTTTTTTAATTAAAACTCGTTACATTGTTTACAGAATATTAATAAAACAATTTTTTTACAAACTACAATGTTTACCCATAATATTACATTATTTACACAGAATATTAAAATAAAAATTAATTAGTTCATGAAGATCATATGTTAGATCTTCGAATCCTTGATATTTGGACAAGACTAAAAGTGCAACTATATTCTCAATGGCTTTACCTCATATGGATTAGTTTCTGATATAAAACAAAAAAGGGTTGATAAAAAATGTTGGATAAACAAATGATTTTTTCTCAAATAAATATTTAAGAACACAAACCTTAAACTTAAATAATTTCTTGCTCTTGCATCCGTCTTAGCGATCTTTTCATGAAAAATGATCTTGCAAATCTTAAAGAGAATACCTCAAAACGAAAGTTTAAAAGTCTTAAATGCACCTCCATCCGATGGTTTGATTGGCAACGGCGACATGAAAAGAAATCTTAAATGCACCTCCATCCGATGGCTTAATTGGCAACGGCGACATGAAAGGTGTAAAAACAAAGGACTCCATGGAAAACTCCTTAATTATTCAAAACTTGTTGTTATTAATGTGGTTAGATAAAATAAAATAAAAAAATTAGTTTTTGAATTAAAATTATTTAAGATTTAAATTGGTAAGATATTTTGTGTAAAAAAAAATGATTAGCGTTTTAACAATTTTTAATTTAAAGTTTGTTACAATAAAATAAAAACAAAAAGATTAGGGTGAATGATAATTAACCTAATCCTTACGGTTTAAATAAGTGAGTGCAGTGCAGCCGTTCCATTATCATTCAACCTAACATCGTGAATATGAAATCAGTCTTCCTCCTCACCATGATGAAGAGATCTTGTCAACCACTATCGGCATCTGCCCTTGCTATGAAAAAGAAGAAGAAGAGAACTTGCCTCAAATCCCCACTTTCTTCTGCAAATTCAATTATAATTCCAGAACCTGAATTCTACTTACCAGATGACTGCTGGGAGCTTGTTTTCACATTCCTCATCAACCCGGTGGATGTTTTCACATTCCTCATCAACCCGATTGTTATCGTCTCTAAACAATTCCTCTCCATCACCAACCGTATCATATTCTCTACCACAATTTGTTATCCACGACTTCGTTTTCTCCCTCGTTTCTTCCGAAGATTCTCCAACCTTAATTCCCTTGACCTCTCCTTCGGTGGCTCCCGTGATCTCGATGCCAGCATTGCTTTGGCTCTCCGTGACAGACCAACATTGAAATCTTTATCTATTTACAGGATTGACTTAAGAGATGCAAACTACATTACTTCATATTACATTGATTCTTTCCTGAGTTTGAAGGGTTTGGATTCTCTTAAGTTCTCATATTCGCAAATATCTGATGATTTGCTTTATTCTATTGCTCGGGAAGGTCTTCCTTTGAACAAGTTTGTTCTTCAAAGTTGTACCGGCTATAGTTATAATGGAATCTATGATTTATTATCCAAATGTCCAGGGATACAACATTTGGGTCTTCAAGATGTTGATTTTCTAAGTAATAATCATTTATCCGGCTTGTCTTTGCTTCTTCCCGATTTGATATCTATAAACCTTAGTGAATGTTCCAAACTCACAGAATCAACTTTGTTTGCATTCATTAAGAACTGTCGTTCACTTCTTGAGATCAAAATGGAAAGCATATATTGTGAGAGAAAGAATGTAGAAAATGTAGATATTTTGAAAGATTTTGATGTCAACCCTCAATTGAAGTTTCTACATTTTTCTGAGAATTCATTTGTAAACGACAAGATCATCGTAATCTTTGCTTCCATTTTCCCCAATTTGCATCTTCTTGATTTGAGTTATTGCCATCGCATATCTGGAAAAAGTATTTCTCAAGTTCTAACTAGATGTTGTAAGGTTAGATATCTATACTTAACCAGTTGTGAAAAAGTGAGACGAATCAAAATGAACGTTCTAATTCCCCAACTAGTGGTATTGAACTTGTCTGGTACAAGTGTGGATGACAAAACACTTTATGAAATTTCAAAGAGTTGTTGTGGACTTTTGCATCTATTTCTGATAGGTTGTAAATATATCACAGAAAACGGAGTGATACGTGTGGTTGCGAGATGCAGACGACTGAAGGAGATCTGTTTCAAATGTTGTGATAAAGTGAATGTTGATGCTATTATCTCAATTCTTTCATCAAATCCATCATTAGAAAAAGATAACTGCTCTTGTGAAATTAGGCTTAGGTTTTGATTCTTTTTTGTTTTTAGATTTGTTTCCATGAGAAGTGACTTAGATTTTTTGTTTTTAAATTTTAATTGTCCTTTTGTCAATAATAATCTTTTAAATATAGTCAGATTTTTATATGAAATACAATGTTTTGATGTTTTTCTTTTACTCTAACATAGTGATATGGTCTAGCATAGTCTACTCTTTGTCATGATAAGATGACACACAATATTGACTGACTTAATATGAATTTAACAATTAAGTGTGAATGAAGGAGACTTACTAGCATTATGAGTTTCAATAAAGTCTCCAATAAACATCCAATGACCATCAACAGTGTTTCTCCAATCAATAAAGTGGAGTCATAGGTCAAGACGAGATGTGTACACATGACTAACATAATTTTCAGTTTTATATCAAAAGGAAGTTCCCAATGATAGCTTGATAGTAATTGTATCCATAAAGACATCATGCACAATAATTACAAAGCTACAACCATTCTATTTTAACACCTAAATTCCTTCGAATTGACCATATGCATCCACGTAGGGAACACTCACAATCCATATTTGTCCCATAAGGACTTGGTCTTATGAAAACCAATGTGTGTTTCCATAATGATTAAAAATGTTAGGGAGTTTTTTTCTAATCAAATCCATCATATGTCTTTTAGCATTATTATTATAGGCTTTCTGAATAATTCAGGAAAGCAGAACGACTTCTTTGAAACCTAACATAACTAGTCAAGTTGATGGCGGTGACAAAGCAAGTCCCGAACACGAGACAATTTACGTAGCAGTCCCTCATTTAATGGAAGTTTCACGAACAACTTCCTCTTCTTAAGGAGCACTCTTATATATAGTGCATTGGTTATTTCCATTTGCTTGACTTTTTCTCATTCAAAATATGGAATGTTGTATCGTGTGATGGTCTCCAAATCCAATTTTACTATGAGAATGATGGGGGTGAATTTAGTAGTGCTAGGCACACCCTTTGGCATGGAAAGGAATTTAAATTTGCACAATTTTGTCCGAAGACCCACTAATAGCATGATGTGGTTCCAAAATGGAAAACTTGGCCTTGGCGTGTGGGCCCCCTTTGCGTGTTGGCTGACGTGCGTCTAGATGGAAACACTCTTATCAAATTTCCATTTCTTGGAAACCGCATCAAGTTGATTGGGTCCAGCAGTTTTGTTGTCATTGCTTATTCCTTTTAAGGAAATATCAATACCCTTGATTTTAGAAATCCCTGGATCATAACTAAATATTTTGTTACATTTTTTCCTCTGCACCACCAGCCAATCACCATGAACTGCATTTATTTCTCATTTTAATTTTGCTGCAATTTTGGCGTTATCATTGCCCATTTCCTAATATAGTATTGTTAGTATTTTATCATGGACATCATGGTTTTTTCGGAAGACCTCATGGTTATGCCACTGTAGGAAAGACTGGCTGTGTTAGACTATGTGGTATTTTAGGACAACCCCAAGTGTGGTGTGCATAACAACCACAATTGGAACAACTACTGCGGAGGCCTTCATATTGCACGTTATACAAGTGGCCATTAACATTGACCTTTTCGACAACTGACAATGTCAGATCAATGTCCATGCAAATTCTTGCAAACCTTTCCCTCTATAGATATATGACATTAGTGTCTACCTTAATGGGAGTACCCACGACAAATGCCAGACTAAAGTCTTCTCTACAAAGTCTAGAGTCCATCGAGCCACAGTCAAATAATGGTCAAAAATCATCCACGGGCCTTCTAATATAATTTTCTCTCTATCTGCGAGCAATTCACATAAGTAGTCTGAGTGTTCATCTCGATGCCACTAAGATGTATCAATATTTGAAAAAGATGTTTTAGTTTCCATAAATGAAGAGGGAAATATCTAAGTTTGTTTACGCTTGCTTGACTTTTTAGAAGCCGAAGATTAAACATCAAAAGTCGTTTGGTCTGATGCAACCGGTGAGCATTCCTGAGTGGAAATAGGACAACGTTTCCATGGAATTTGTGACGAGTTTGTCGAGGACGACGAAAGGATGTGATTACATCTGGGTTATTGTTTATAGCACTACTACAAATAATGTTTTTAATATCGCACGCGAAAGAGATGTAACCTCGACTACCGAGGCGACGTAACAAAGGGTGACATGAAAAGATGCCACATAACACCTCGGGTTAAGAAAAATCGAGGGGTAAAGTTATCTGATCATGGGTTTGAACCCCAACATCTTCATTTTTAATATTTACAAAAATAAAGCCTCATACCTCTCGGTTAATCCACAAAACCGAAGGGTAAGATAGACTGTTGATTTTTTAATTAAAACTCGTTACATTATTTACACAGAATATTAATAAAACATTTTTTTTTACAAACTACAATGTTTATCCAGAATATTACATTATATACACAGAATATTAAAATAAAAATTAATTAATCCATGAAAATCATATCTTAGATCTTCAAATCCTAAATATTTGGGCAAGACTAAAAGTGCGACTATATTCTCAATGGTTTTACTTCATATGGATTAATATGGTTAGATAAAATAAAATAAAAAAATGGTTTTTGAATTAAAATTATTTAAGTTTTAAATCTGTAAGATATTTTGTGTAAAAAAAAATTGATTAGCGTTTTAACAATTTTGAATTTAAAGTTTGCTACAATAAAATAAAAACAAAAAGAGTAGGGTGAATGATAATTAACCTAATCCTTACGGTTTAAATAAGTGAGTGCAGTGCAGCCGTTCCATTATCATTCAACCTAACATCGTGAATATGAAATCAGTCTTCCTCCTCACCATGATGAAGACGACGAAGAAGAGATCTTGCCAACCACTATCGGCATCTGCCCTTGCTATGAAAAAGAAGACGAAGAAGAGATCTTCTCAACCACTATCGGCATCTGCCCTTGCTATGAAAAAGAAGAAGAAGAAGAGATCTTCTCAACCACTATCCGCATCTGCCCTTGCTATGAAAAAGAAGAAGAAGAGAACTTGCCTCAAATCCTCACTTTCTTCTGCAAATTCAATTATAATTCCAGAACCTGAATTCTACTTACCAGATAAATGCTGGGAGCTTGTTTTCACATTCCTCATCAACCCGGTGGATGTTTTCACATTCCTCATCAACCCGATTGTTATCGACACTAAAACTCAATGTAGAATAAATAAACTCCATTTTAAATCCCTGTCTCTCGTCTCTAAACAATTCCTCTCCATCACCAACCGTATCATATTCTCTACCACAATTTGTTATCCACGACTTCGTTTTCTCCCTCGTTTCTTCCGAAGATTCTCCAACCTTAATTCCCTTGACCTCTCCTTCGGTGGCTCCCGTGATCTCGATGCCAGCATTGCTTTGGCTCTCCGTGACAGACCAACATTGAAATCTTTATCTATTTACAGGATTGACTTAAGAGATGCAAACTACATTACTTCATATTACATTGATTCTTTCCTGAGTTTGAAGGGTTTGGATTCTCTTAAGTTCTCATATTCGCAAATATCTGATGATTTGCTTTATTCTATTGCTCGGGAAGGTCTTCCTTTGAACAAGTTTGTTCTTCAAAGTTGTACCGGCTATAGTTATAATGGAATCTATGATTTATTATCCAAATGTCCAGGGATACAACATTTGGGTCTTCAAGATGTTGATTTTCTAAGTAATAATCATTTTTCCGTCTTTGCTTCTTCCCGATTTGATATCTATAAACCTTAGTGAATGTTCCAAACTCACAGAATCAACTTTGTTTGCATTCATTAAGACTTGTCCTTCACTTCTTGAGATCAAAATGGAACGCATATATTGTGAGAGAAAGAATGTAGAAAATGCAGATACTTTGAAAGATTTTCATGTCAACCCTCAATTGAAGTTTCTACATTTTTCTGAGAATTCATTTATAAACGACAAGATCATCGTAATCTTTGCTTCCATTTTTCCCAATTTGCATCTTCTTGATTTGAGTTATTGCCATCGCATATCTGGAAAAAGTATTTCTCAAGTTCTAACTAGATGTTGTAAGGTTAGATATCTATACTTAACCAGTTGTGAAAAAGTGAGACGAATCAAAATGAACATGAACGTTCTAATTCCCCAACTAGTGGTGTTGAACTTGTCTGGTACAAGTGTTGATGACAAAACACTTTATGAAATTTCAAAGAGTTGTTGTGGACTTTTGCATCTATTTCTGATAGGTTGTAAATATGTCACAGTAAACCGAGTGATTCGTGTGGTTGCGAAATGCAGACGACTGAAGGAGATCTATTTGAAATGTTGTGATAAAGTGAATGCTGATGCTTTTATCTCAATTCTTTCATCAAATCCATCATTAGAAAAAGATAACTGCTCTTGTGAAATTAGGCTTAGGTTTTGATTTTTTTTTTGTTTTTAGATTTGTTTCCATGAGAAGTGACTTAATTTTTTAAATTTTAATTGTTCTTTCGTCAATAATAATCTTTTAAATATAGTCAGATTTTTATATGAAATAAAATGTTTTGATGTTTTTCTTTTACTCTAACATAGTGATATGGTCTAGCCTAGTCTACTCTTTGTCATGATACGATCACATGTGCATGTGTGCTTGTAAATCTGCATATCATATATAAGAGGTGGTTCCAAATAATTGTGTAATTTCAAATGATGTAGTAATCACATAAAACAATATTGACTGACTTAATATGAATTTAACAATCAAGTGTGAATGAAAGAGACTTACTAAGCATTATGAGTTTCATATTCTCAACTGATGTGATGTAGTAGTCATATAAAACAATATTGACTGGGTGTTTTGTTTAGAAGGCCTAGTGAATTAAGCCATGAAAATATATGCATCTTTACATCAAGAAGGTAGGCGGGTTTGAGGGAGATTGGCAATGGGAGAAAGAATTAGTAATATTTATTTCAAACAGTCATCAAAGTACTAAATAGTGGCATTAGTTGGTGCTACAAATATATTAATAAATTTGAACAGGAATGAGGTTTTTGACAGAACTAATGGAATTATGATTGAAACA